CACCTCCCAGTTTCAGATGCTCTCCTTGTCCCATTATGTTCTATGCCCTGAATAAATTGGCTTCTCCACTGGAGCTGCAGCCACTTAGCTTACATTTGCCACAAAATTCACTTAACAAAAGGAGCATTCATCTTCCTCAGAAATGTGCAGTGGGTGCTGCAGTAGCAATTTGGCTGGCTGTGGCTCAGCAGCAGGTACACCAGGCAGCCCAAGCAACTGCAGCTCAGAGTGAGCTGACAGTCCCACAGTGCTGGGCCCCAGCCACCCCCAGTGGCTCCTGCTGGGGAAGACTGTAAAACACCATGGGGCAGTGCTGGGAGACAGCTAGGGAGAGACATGCTGGTTCTCAAACGCAGGCACGTCCTCCAGGTCTGGGGCTGAAACCCTGTGCCCTACTTCATGCTACAATGGGCTCATGTGCTAGGGCAATGCATTAAGCAAACAAAGAGGGTCCAAAGCAAAATGTGGTGGTATGATCATGTCCTTTAATTTGCTTTCCAGCCTAAACAGGCAAGTTAGCATGGGCCATCTATGCAATGAGTTCTGGTTTCCTAGAACAAGAGCAAGCAGCTGAGACATTTTTCTGGGAAAACAGATGCAACTAATAAGGTGGTAAATAAAATCCATGTGCAATTCTTTACAATTCAGTTGTAATTAACTCTGCACTGCCAAAAGAACTGAAGCCCAAAACTGCACATTAATTACACATTAATGTGAACATTCATCCGCTCTCGGCTCACTAGCTCTCTGGAGATCGTGGCACTTATTTCACTTCTGCATATGCCAAAACCACTGTGGCCTGGTGGGACTTGTGTGGAGCCAGAGTGCTGGAGCAGTTCTTGGCGCTCCTCCTAAAAGCCCCACTAAAACACAGCAAGGCCAAAAGCAAATGTGAGAAAGTTAGCATCCATTTGCAACAGTGGGAGGAACAAGGTAAGATCATGAAGGACTCTGGCCACTCTCTGGGGGCTGTGCCCGCACATGTCTCATGCCCCAAATTCAGTCATCTAACAATGTTTGTGAACCAGAATGCTTTTTGCTGCCAAAAAGCAGCAAGCGTCCCGTCAGCACTGTGGACCCTCCACTGGATCAGCCTCTTGCTCCAAGTCTCTCCCAATGGTGCCACCAGCTCTGTGGGAACCCCTTCTTCTGCTGGTGCTCAGTCCTCCCAGAAGCCATTGTGGTGCTGCTGTGGGTACCAGAGGCTGTCCTGTGCCAGCGGGGAGGAACCTCACTGCAAAGCGGAGAGGACACCTCCCTCCTGCAGTGGGAAGGCATTAAAATGGCCTAGCGAGGAAGGACACATGCCCTGGTCTGCTAGGGGATGGAGTCCCACCCATGTCTTCCACACACTCCTCAAAGGCATCATTTGGGCCCTTTTCTCCAAAGAGTTCCAGTGAAGGATGCCTCCTTCCAAGGGCCTCTCCCAAAGTGATGCCCCTTGCCTGCTGGAGACAGAGGCCAGCACCAGCTGGGATGAAGGGAGCATCTGTGGTGGAGGCACTGCAGCCACCAGCCCTTCTATGGGCAGAGCTGGTGTTGCATCCCTGCAGGGGCAACAAACTGGTGTGGAAGAAATGTCAGTGCCTCTCTCAGCAACCTCTGGTGCCAATCCTGGAAACAGCAGATCAGAGGCCTAGCTCCAAGCCTCATCCTGCTCCTCTGGCCAGCAGAGAATGGCCTTGCTCTCTGCCAAGGCTGGTACCAGCACCTGCCCCCAAACACAGCCAGGCCAGGTTTTGGGGACAGGGGAAGGATTTTGCACTGACTGGCAGAGAGGGCAGGTACCAGCAGTGGGGGATCTTTGGCAGAGGGACCTGCCACACCACCGCCCAGACATCTGTTACCAGTACTCATTTGTGTTCCTTTACTCCACAGCCATCCATTATATATGGCCAGGATGGATTAGTGGGGCCTGGTTACATGTGAAAAATTCCACTGAGGGGCTGGAACGGAATCAAGAAGCAGCAGATCAAAGCCTTTAAACACCGGTCACCCACCCTTTGCAAATTCAGCCTCCTAATTCCTCCCCAGTCCCAGCTTGGGGTGATGCCCGACACAGAGCAGCTCCTGGGGTGGATGAGCTGATGCCACCCTGTAATACTGCTGCAGCACCAGAGTAGGTTACACTGTGCCGTAAGGAGGGGGGATTTTGCCAGAAGCCCTCTGAGGGTTAGATCTTCCTCTACATACCAGAAAGCTGCTCACAAATGTCCTGCCTTCTGCTTTCCTGCAGTGCTGGGGAAGGACAGAAAGGGCCACCTCGATGGTATGCGGCCCCCAAGGAGAGCATGCTACTCAGAGGGAGCCTTGGGAAGTACCAAAGAGTCACCTCCCACTTGCCAGCATTTTCTGATCTAAATCTCCATGAGATTTTCATCTTTGCATCCATCTCGGGGGCCCAGAAGGCACTGAGAGGCTGTGGTCACCCTGAGTAGCCTCACCCCATGTTCAGCTGCCATTGCTGGGGCAAGTGTCGCCCCCAAAACTCTTGACACCGACGTTTGGCTCTGCTCACTGGGAAGCAGAGTCTGCCAAAGGTGGCGAGCAGGGGTGGGCAGCAGCTCTGCCCCGACATCAGGAACTCCCTCTCCAGCTACGCAGTCCATGGGAAGGGATGAAGTGGGGCAGTACTGAGGGCCTCACACTCTTCACACTCCTCACACTGCCCATTGCACAGCTTTTAGGGACATCCCAGAGCGGTGAAGGGCTCAGAGTTTTCCTGAAGAAGAGGCTCCCTAAACGCGAGGCACAACCTGGCTGGAGCCACTTCCCCGGCCGGCAGCACAGGCAGCTGCCCTTCATCAGGCAGCTGTGCCGGGAATGCTTCCCCAGCCCCGGGAGCCTCCCCATGAGGTCACACGCACCATAGCATGGGGGTGTGTAGGACAAGGAGAGGAGAGGAAGGTCTCCTCCAAACCTCCATCTCTGCCTCTTTCCTTAGCCTTTCCTTAAGAGACCAAACATAGATCCTTTCATGGACCTGCTTGGATTCCCTTTCTCTTCCAACGGTGCATCTCCACAGGGATGAGCAACTTGGCATGGAAGAAACCAGGCATGGCCCCTCTTAGCATCCACAGTGTTTTCATTTGAGGGACCCCTCAAAGGGGCCAGGAGAGGCAGTGCACAAGGTTCCCGGAGCCCAGCTCTTCCTCCCAGGCCCTCTGCAGCCATGACAGGTCTTTGCTGATCTTGAGTGGGTAGCAGAGCTGGCTGTGCCCATTGCCGTCCTACTGCCCAGCCAGGCTCTGGCCACACTGGCAGGGCTGTGCTCCCCACCCTCAGTGGAGAACCTCTGGTGCTGGGGACCTCTGGGTCCCCACTGCAGTTGCCCCTGTCACGGCCTCACAGGGGAGCTGCTGCGGTGATGTTGGGCCAGCCCAGCATAATCATCCTCCACCTGCAGGCAGGTGGCAGCAATGGCAGTGGCAGCCCAGAGCTGGATACAGGCACGGCAGAACGTGTACTGGCAGGGGTCTGTGCCAGCAGGGTGGTCAAGGGAACCCAAGCAGATGGGGCCAGTGTCCCCCACTGGAAGCTCCTGGCAGCTCCCAGCACCACTGGCTCATGCCTGAGCACCTCCAGTGCTGCTGCCAGGACTTGGTGCCCCATCTGCTGCTGGCAGTACTTGATGGATGCCACTGGTGGAACTCAAAGGCTTGGGTTCCGCTGATGGCACTCAGTGGCTCCTCAGCTGTTGACAGGTCATAAATTCTCCCATAAGAAGTTTCTGTGTTATCATTCATTGGTCCCAGTTAACATCTTCACCTTCCAATACAGGAGCTCAGGAATGTAATGTGGGATCTGCTGAATTGTTTGCCTCATTCTACACTCTTCCTGAAAATACCATTGCAGCACATGCTGAAACCACCTATCTGAATCATTTTGCACTCCCTGCAAACACACAGAGGACACCACTGTGAAGCTCAGAGAAGCTTGCAGAGCCACCAGAGCAGACGTTTCCAAAACCGCACAGGTTTTAAATCCCTTTGGCCAAGATTAGTCTTGCATCCCAAAGGAAGCTACAGGCACAAACCAAATCCCTCATAGTTTCACAGTTTTTGGACAATGGTTGGCGTCGGAAAGCTTGCAAGAAAGAAACGTCACCGCCAAGAATCACGAAATGCATTGGCTTCAAGGGACCTTTAGAGGTCATCTAGTCCAACCTCCCTGCAGTGAGCAGGGACATGTTTAGCCAGATCAGGTTGCTCAGAGCCCCATCCAGCCTGGCCTTGAATGTCTCTAGTGATGGGGCCTCCACCAGCTCTCTGGGCAACCCACTCCAATGTTTCACCACCCTCACAGTAAAATATTTCTTCTTTATATCCAGTCTAAATCTACCCTCTTTTAGCCTAAAACCATTGCCCTTTGTCCTGTCTCAACAGGCCTTTCTAAAAAGATTGCCCCCACTTTTCTTAGAGGTTCCCTTTAAGTAGGTCAAGGCTGAAATAAGATCTCCACAGAGCCTTCTCTTGTCCAGGCTGATCAACCCCAACCACGCTCACCAGTGAAAGTCTTTGGAAGTAACAGGTGGAGAAATGCAGCCAGAACCATCTCTCCTACCTCTTCTGTAGGCTAGAAGAAGCAGTGCTAGACCTTTGCCCTCCCCACTGCCGAGGGACTCGACGGCAGATTTAAATGAAGGTCAAAGGCTGCGTTCTGCTCCTCATCTCCAGAACTGCCCCAAGTCCTTTCAAGTCAGCTGGACATCACCATCAGGATAAGGTCCTGTGACACTTTCTCTGTCCCATAGGATGACACAGGTCCTCCTTTCGAATACTTGAACTGAGTTTGCTATGTAGCTGGGGTCCTCGGGGTCTGACCAAGCAGTGCCAATCTATTCTTCTGCAGTGTTATTCAGGTAGCAGAGAGGGGTCCAGGAGGATGGATCTGCAAACCAAAACCTACTAATGAAGAGGCATCAGAAAGCCCCTCTCTAACCACTGCCAGAGCAGACAGATGCACAGACCACCCCACAATCATACCAAAAGACACATGCATAAAAATAAAAGCTTTTTATTTATTTTTTTTAATATACCATTACAGAAACATCTAAGTAACATTCTCAACAGGATGGGGAGCTCCAAGGCCTTGGGGGCAAGCACAGACAGACAGCTCCGGGGTCTGCCATGCCATGCTCCTGAGCTGCTGCTGTTGCATGACGCCCCACTCCTTGTCCTTGTCGGGGAGACCCAGCCCTCCTGGCATCAGGGCGTCACTTTTTTGTAGGTAATATGGAGATGTTGAGTCATGGGCTGTGTAGTGGTTGCCATTGAGACAGTTTGTTCGAGTTTCCCATCGGAATTGAGCCTGAATTTTCTGGTAATCTAAAAAAAGAGGGTAGAAATAACAAAATCAAGCAAACAGCATCCGCGGGCCAAATTCCCTACCTGCACTTTCTACCTTCCCTTTGCTACCCTCATGTTTGCTGTCAATGCACCACAGACGGAAGCATATATGCACTACAGCCATGCAAGTAAATGAAACGTTTTCTCTCCTAAAGAAGGCATCCCTTTCCAAATTACCAGCTTCAAGTCCCAATACTATTACCCATGGAGCAATGCAGTGTCCTCGCACTACCACTGACATCCCCTCAGCACAGATAGCCCCCTACTCCTTCACCAGAAGACTGGCTTCGGGCTGGTGGCTCAGGGAGATGCACTGCACTGGATGCCATCCCCAAGGTAGCCTTCACAACCACTCAGGTTCTCTGCAGGTAACCACACTGTGCCAGAGTAAGGTGTTGGGGAGATTAGAGCCTGCCAAGCCTTGGCTGCCAGGCAGAGGTTCAGCCCCAGAGCAGGAGGGAAGAGCACTGCCATCAACTCCATCCTTCCACCTGGGCAGGCTGTGAGTCTGTCTGTGCAGATGGTCTGTTAATTTGGGGTATCCCTGTGGAGCTGGACCACTTAGGACCCATGCAAGCAGATGCCTGAACCCAGGCTTCAGCAGCTTCCAAACTAGAAGGAGGAATGTCTAAGCATCCAGTGCTCAGCACAGGTTGTAGGCCTGCTCCTCGATGTCACCAAAATAAAGGAGAGAAGTTGGACCATTGTTTCTGAAATTCAACTCCTGTGCCAGAATAATGCTTTGGAGATTGTCATGCCAGTTGCCCAGCCTGGCAGGAGAAGGGCCACGTAACCACATGAATGACACCAGGGCACGGCAGCTCCCCGAGTCAGCACTGCTGTAAGGAGGCAGCTTGGCATGGACTCCATACACTCAGCACTTCTGTCCTTCGCTTAATTTCAGCACAGATTCACTCCACATCACCCAGAGGAGCTGCTTATACTGCCTAGTGGCCACTTGTCACTTCCCATGCCAAACACAATCCCAGAGGTGAAGAGAAACAAAGTCCTGGGGACAGTGAGATAACCTGCAAGAATGATTACCTTGCAATCACTTAAACCAACTCCATTTACAAATTCCTAAAATGAAGAGGCTTTTGCAAATGCCTTTGTTTCCCGTAAAGGTCACTCAAGGGCATGTCCATGAGCTATTTCCAGTCTGCATGCTCCAGCATCCTCTCAGTTAACATATCCATTCCTAAGCCTGCTGTATGCCCTTAATGTCAATCTCCAAGACGTCTTCCTTCCAAGAGGTTATTGCCAGCTGAGAGTGAAGCTACACAGCACTGCAGCGAATGTGCCACTGTTCTAACAGTCACGGGGGCAACAGCAGGAACAGGGTCACACACAAATGACATTCTGATTAATATTTGCTGACGAGATGAGGCTTTATTTGTAATGCATTACAATGTTCCTCAGATACTCTTAAGTAGAAAAAGGCAAAAAAACCATCTGCCTCTAAAAAGAAATTATCTTGCAATGTGTGACCTTAGCTCAGGATTCCTGAATGGCCTATTTTTTTCTGAATAGACCACTGCAGGTCAGACAACAAAGTCTGAATGCCAGAAGGAGGAAATGAAATGAACTGGGCAAAAAGGAAGAGGAGGATTTTATCTTAAAAGCAAGCTTCTATCAAAGACTGACTGGAGGGAAAGCTCCATGCACACCCAAGATGCATGGGCAGACGGCTACTTTCCACACAAGAGGGGAAACATGAAGCACTGGAAAAGGGCTGTGGGAAATTGCTGAACTCAAGGCAAGCAACATCCACTGCTCTCCCCTTGTCCACAGATACAGTCATTTTATTACAGAACATGACCAGGTCAGCCAGGCCCCATTTACTCATGGTAAAACCATACTGACTGTGCCTAATCACCTTCTCCTTCATATGTGCAGAAATCTCCAGGGAATGACACAAAGCTGACCAGCATGTAGCTCTCCAGATTGACCTTCAGGCACCTTCTGAAGATGGGAGACCCACGTGCCATGGATCTCCAGTCATGAGGAAAGTCTGCTGATCTCCATCACCTCTCAAAGATAACATTGCATCCTCGCAGGCACATCAACCAGTTGCTTCAGTACTCACGTACTGTGAGGACAGCCCTGAAGTCTAAAAATATTTGAAAACATGCTTGTTCTCAAGACACTTGCAGGGAACATAAGCAGGGTGTTTGGAAACAAACTTGGTCCAAGATCTGCTCCCTGTAGAGCATCTCTTATCTATACACATAGAGTGGGAGCTGAGACACACTGACTCCTCAGAGAGGGAGAGAGTCTAGTATGCTGCAACTGTGCCTTAGCAGTCCATCAGCATCACCTCTAGCAGCGACAGACCCCTAGAGACTGCTCCTTTCTGTTCATGCGGGGAGCTCCCTGCACCTCAGCATGGCCACACTAGTGAGTGCCTGCAGTACAGCCCTGGCCCAGGGAATGGGACTTCCTGTCTGCATTAGGGCTCCACTGAGCCAAAGCCATCCCTGATCACTTTTCAGTGTGGAGTTCACAGCAGTATGGTAAAGTTTTCTCAAAATGAGAAACTAAAGCAGCAGCACACGTGCTCTTCCACACGTGCTCTTCTCGCACTACTTGCGGTCTCTTCATTTCCATGGGCAATTTACACTGTTCTTGTTGAAAAAGAAAACTGGTTGGAAGCTGATTACCTGCCATACACTCTCATTCCACATTCTCCTTCATCAGCAAGGGCCTTCCAGATATTCACTGTGACTAGTACCTGGGCCTGAACTGTCCTCAGGTGCCAGGTGAGCACGGACCTCCAGCTTACGAGGTTCCCTCTTCCAGTCTTTGGCCAAAACCAGCCCCAGAACCCTCAACCAGTAAGAAACTCACTGGCTTTCTGTTGCTTTCCCCCTCTCTCTTGCCAGTCTATCTGCTTAGATTTCAGGCAGTGATTCTGAGCATATGAAAACCAAGTTGCGAAATTGAGCCTTAAAATCCATAATAAGACAATACTGTATTTGCTGCAAAGTAGTGTCTTCTCTCCTGACAGCCACACTTCAATTGTCACCCTTCAAAAACTGCAGTCAGTCATTTGGTTCACATGTTATCAGAGAAAACAACACAGATGCAAGAACATGCCAGCACCTATGCTTTACGGAGAGCTTGTTCAAGTTTGCTGCCTTTCTCAGCTGCTAGTCAGCAAAGACAACTTCATATGTGAGAGCGGTGACCTCAAAATGCCACACTAACTCCAGCAGTGCCATCTTACCGCTGGCTGTACCCCACCCAGCTGTGTCAAGAACAAACCACAGCTACATGAAAAAGTAAGAAGCCAAAACCCAAGAAACAGTCAACCAAGATTGGACAGCAAGTGCCAGCTTTGCCAAACAGTCATAGGTAGGGAGAGAGCCCATAACAACTTGTGAATGCCCTAACAAACAAGCAAGCAAGCAAGATTTGCAAAGACAAGGTGGAGCTCCAGTGAAAGGCGAGCGTTCTGAAAGCATCCCGATGAGGCCAAATAATGGACATACCTTACATGTGCACCCTCATACTGTAATTAATCCAGAAGACAAGCATTAAGAAGTAACACTGCTGCTATACAATCTAGATAAGACCTTCCTGTCCTCTTCTCTAAAGAGAAGAGGCCACTGCTGGAGACAGGATTCTGGGGTTGGCTGATCTGATTCAGCATGAGAGCACAAGCCCTCTGGGTCTTGTAATGCACAAAATATCTTCCGAGGGCTGTTACAGAAGGAATAAGCCAGGATGCCATGCAATATTTCCAAGAACTCCTGATCTATAATAAAAGCATGCTCATCAACCTATCCTCTCAACTAGACACCTTCTGGGGATAGCGATACTATGTGAACTGCTCACTCTGTGTGCACTCACCTGCTCTACGTGGGGCTTCTTGGCAAAAGAGATCCTGGCTATGGAGTGAGAAGCTATAGACAGCTCTTGTCCATTCACCTCCCCTTCCTCCACCTCCACCAGACCTAGTGAGAAGCAAGGTCATATATATTATTAGGCTACATAACAGAACACCACTCTTTGTGAAGAACAGTTTTATTTGACCTAGCAGACAACTGCAAACCCATGCAACCTCAGATATGTAATGCTGCTTAGAAATATCTAGTCAGACTCTCTCGTACCATGTTGGATGAGTACAGCACCGCAACTGGCAGTTTTCCCTTCAGCACCTGCTCTGGAGTTTTAGATGCAAATTTAAGCATTAACTGAGTTTCAACACTCTTTTGCTTATAATAATTTATATGTGGTTCTCTCACTGAGCCCCTGTAATGTGTGTAGCAAGTACCAAGGCACTACAGCCAGACAGTGGGAGATTCTCCTAGCTTAGGAGACAAAAAAGAAGACTGGACAGAGACTACTCTCCAAGATTGTTAAGGGAACAGTAGAAGAGAAGCTCCCCTGCTAAAGTGCTGCAGAGGCTCTTGGTGGTGCCACGGCCTGGGCAGGGTCTGTAATACGGAACCTGCTACATGGGTCACACCAAACACTCCTGGGTGGAGAGACTGCAAGCAGGGATTAGAACCACCACAGCTCCCCCTTGTCAGGGCCACAAGCTCTACCTTGCACTGCAGACTCAAACACGGCAAGCGTTGACATCGGTAACAACAGTTTAAGCGGGATGGTAAATCTGACCCTGTTCTGGAGAAGCAGCTGGCTAAATCTACCCCAGCAACAGAAGAAGGACTTGACAGAGGAGCTCATGAGCCACAGCATGCACCTCTACTTCCACCACAGGGTCACATATGGCCAACTCACGGAAGCAGTGGGAACAAAGCATCTTGTCTGTACGCATTCTCCCTCCCTCCCCACAAAAAGAGACTAAGATGCTACGCAGGCATCAAGAACTCACTGGTCACTCATCACCTGCCATTATTAAGGCCCAGACTGAAAGTCTTGTTACAGAGGCAGGGATTATTTTGGTTTACAAAGGTGTATCAGCAAATGCCAACATACTATTTGAGAAAGGGACTCCTGCACGAGTGGTATTTCGAGTTGCAGTCCTTTCCTGTCACAGAGAGCTAGACAGCCACACTGTTTGGGCCAGTCTATATGTATACAGCCACAGAGACAGCCCCAGAAACTCAGTGCGTTTGACACAAGTTCATTTATCAATTTGTTTTCACTGTGGGTTTCACTAAACTCACAGTAAAAATAAATTAAACTGTGAGAAGTGCACTAATTTTCTGGAAAAGCAATGAAACGGCACAGCAGGGTAAGGACCTCTTCTTTTCCCCAGCACAGTTATCATGCTGTGTGTACCTGTGTTCTGGGCACTGATGAAGGCCACCTTATTAGTGTCAGGTTTGAGGCGGATGAATCCACATTCTCGGTGCATGGGCTTCCTGGTGTCAGGATGGAAGGCGTTGAAGCTGAAGGGAAATCAGAATACAAAAGCTGCTGTTTGGCCTGGCTTTGTCTCAGAGGAAACAACCACAGTATTATTTGAAGAATTAAGACTGACAACATCTCATGGTTGGGAGATGTAAACCTGTAAAATTACAGTTTTACAGGCACAGCTATTTCTTAGAGCTGGAGCTAGTTTTTTAAATTCAAGCTTTGGATCTTCCACAGCTCCTGAGTCTAAGAGCTAGCTCAGAAACTGCCTCAGGAAGTCAGACATTACGCAGATGCTGAAGCCATACTCTGTCTCAAATACTTCCTCTTCTCAAGTAATTATATGAAATTACAGAATTATCTTTAAACCTGGCAAGTTGGGTGGGGATTTTTGCATATACACACACACACACACACACACACTCTCTTTCTGCAGGGAGTAACAGAGCAGACTTACCTCTCCCATCACCTCCTTCAAAAAGAAAGAGAGCTCACCTGAGATTCTTATTTATTCTCCATGAAGCCTTAGAGTTGTATGTTAGGTGACCCATAATGTGAGTGATTATATGTATCACACACATTCATATATTACATGAATAATGTATTATATTCATGTATACATGAATTACATGCTGATACATGATTCATGTATCAGCACTCCTGAGCCTACACAGGAAGGCGGAGCACAGCTAAGACGTGCAGTTAGGAAGGAGTTTGACTACGTTGCAGCTGCTTCTGGCTCCCCAACGCCCTCTGGGTACAAATACATAAATTACACCTCCTGTTTGGCTTTTTCTCTGCATAAAGAATGTCTCCTTTTAACCATGTAGCAATAGGAAGAACCAGGAATGACTTTTATCGGTGCTGCAGGGCTGTATCCCTGCTAAGGACTGCCCTAGCATCTCAGCATTTGTACTCTGCAGCTAGTGAAGCCAGGTACCTTATGGAGTTCTGCCTGATGGTGGGGTTATCTAGGATCAAATGAGGAAACTTAAATTAGGCTTCTTTCAGTACTTGGAATATTCAAGGGACATAGGGACTGACTTGTAACAGCCAAGCACTGCTCTGGAAACCAGGGAGGTCTCTGTCCTCCAAGACTGATGCCTTTTTTCCTGAAGCTTTCTAGAGCTCAACAGCTCTGATCTGTATATCTCCTTCGTAACAAAACAAAACCAAAAAAACCCCACCATACAACAAAAAAACCCCAAAGGGACTCAAATCAGCAACTGTTCAAAAGTTGGAGGTGTAGACACAGCATGACTGCTGAAGCTTTGTTTCTTTTGGAAACTGGACTAAAAATGTCACATGCTGAGCAGGCAGCTCTGTCACAATGAAAGGCACTGTATTGGGTTGGCCTGGCTGCATTTTGGCGGCAGCGGGGAGGGGAGCTGCAGGGTGGCTTCTGCAAGAAGCTGCTAGAAGCTTCCTGAGTTTGTTAGAGCCAATGGGCTCTAAGAGGGACCCGCCGCTGCACCAAGGCTGAGCCTATCAGTGAAGTGATAGGAGAGGAACGCTTCTGTGAAAACATACTTAAGAACGGGGAAAAAAAGAACTGCGTCTCAACAGCTGGCACAGAGATGGAGGAGTGA